AATTGACTCCATGATGAAACGCACTCAAAATGAGAATATAAGGCAGAGGGATTGGATTAGAGTCCAAATATGTTTGGAAATATCCACCACTAAATTACAAAGGAGTGGTGCAGGAATGAGTCCTTAAAACCCAGAAATGAGTTGGCATGTTACTGCTTCTGGATCCCTCGTCTCGGAGAGTTGTTGTGACATGTTTGTGATTAGATGCCTGAAATAAGGTCTGTGGGTAACACCACCTGAAGAGACTTTTTACGTTTTGTTTTATGACATCAAATATGTTAGTAAATACCCCACTGGTAAATATTCAAAGCTTCTACATCTCATTAAAAACAGCGGTTGCTAACAAGTGGCTAAATGAGACAACTAAACGTCATCACGCTGACCGTTATCCGCTAGCTAAAGCTGCTAGCTAAAGCTGCTAGCTGAAGCTGCTAGCTGAAGCTGCTAGCTAAGGAGGTTAGCTTTTTACTGCTGGAAATTGCATTTGAAAATCCTGAAAGTGGAGATAATATGTGGAGATGATCCTCCTGAACACAGAGTTGATTTATTGTAATTATCCACATTCCTCTTGAACAATCCCATTCGTTTTGTGGAGGAAGCCCATTGCGATGCTAACTGCGCGCCGCTCATCACTGCACCACTCTTTAGAATCTGAAAGTGAGACTGCAGGAGAGATGTTGAATACATGTAGAGCTGCAGTCACACCTTTAGAGTCCAGCCCTACTTTAATAGGACAGACTTGTAACGGTTTGATTTCCTTAAGACAGGCATCCTGGTGTTTTTAGGATCATTTACCGTACATGTCATTTACTATATATTGTTTTCTCTTCGTGAGCAGTTGCTTTGCCCTGTCTGTTCTCTACACTAACATGGAGCTGATGTAAACTTGACCCCCCCCCCCCCCCCCCCCCCCTCCCCTCAGCCTCTCTTTGATTTTAACCCATCTACTTGTCTCTTCAGTTTATGTAGCTTGTTATATGTGAATAGAATGAAAATGCTGATATTTTGTAAATGAACTCGAATCATGATTTTATTCTATACCAAAAGAGACTGCAAACTATTAGAATATAATATTTTCTCTAAGGTTTTTTTTCCTTTTATAATAAATTGATGTTTGAAGTAATCAAATCTTTGAAAGGATGTTTACAGGAGATAGAGATTTGAATCACTGCCTTTTTTCTGTTGATGTCTCCTCTTTGTGTTGAATATGATTTATTTGTATCATTCCGGCAGCTTTGTGAATCTCCTCTGTGTTTCGGCTGTGTCGTCATGGCTAAATAACAAATAACATATCATGCATTTGTATACTGGGCATTGTTAATGGAATGAGTTTAATGATAAACTGAATTATAGTGATGCAACGTTTGATTTTCTGCAGAAGAATCCCAAATCAGCTAACATGGATCTCAGTGTAGGTGGGCACATTAACTAAGGACCACAGCAGGTTTATTATACTTATCATTCCTTCTTCGCATTACAGCTGAAGCAGAATATAGAACGGTTCTGTTTGTTTTCTGAAAATGATTTTCCATTCCACATTAAGACTTTTTAAATTTAGATTAAAAAAGTGTGAATCTCTTAATCATCAGAAACAAAGCAAAATCTGCCTGGAGTGTGCCACTAAAGGCTTTTACAGTGTATGTCAAATGATATCAAATGATTAAACACATTTTACAAAACAGTAAAAACATTTGCATTTGAATCATTTTTGCTTTATTCTGTATTTAAATGTGATAATCGTTTGAATGAAAATTAAATTGTTTCTTTTTTACATTTACTTTTTATATCTCAAGCCATTTATTTATTTGTCTGCCTATCATATTCACTCTATTGGCAGTTTTTATTTAATGTTTCGACTATTGAAACTCACTGAGCAGCACGGAGAGCTCTGATTGGCTGGTTGTTCTGAATCTGACCAATCAGAGCTCCTGCTTCTGCCTCATTCATTGTACAGTGATACAAATGCAAAAATGACAGCAAGAAGAAAGTATAATGTGGAATATGGTACGCCAACAAGGTGAACAGAAAACGAGTATAATTGAAATATGGAATAAAGAAATATAATTTTTGGCAATTTTTTATTAGTGTTTTACTCTATTTTATTGAGTCAATTTATCATTAAAATACAAATCAATGTATTGTATTTTTGAATCATATATGATTGATTTGGTTATAATAAAACCCTGTAAAGGTCATTCATTATTTCAGTGGCACATCCAGGCTGCCTTCAGGGTACTAGGGGACAGTTCTTTTATAAAGTACATGCTATTTGTTCAAACATGCATACATATGAATATGGTCATACAGACATTTAGTGACATCTGCCTGAGACATGTCCCATGCTATCCTGTAACCTTTGAAGCCAAACAAACCAAACATCTTGCATAATGTGGATGTTTGGAATGTATATCGGATTTTCTTGGAGTCAATGAAGAGTTACACTGCTCACCTTCTCCGCCTCAAATTGTTTAAATGCACATTTAGCCATACTGGAAACTGA